GCAGAGTTCAGTAAGGATTTAAGACCCTGGCAAGGGTTAAAGCAAAGTCCCTCACCTGGTCTCTAAAGGAGGAAAATATGGTACCTAGCTTTGTGAGGAGAAAAGGCAGCCCTGGCATTTGCAGAGCACTCACAAAATTATAATCTCTGAAAGATGTTCAAATGGATTCTGAATGAGTCCATTTGCTGTCACCTGGAACAATGTGTGGTAAAGAGAGTCACCAGCCAGGTTTTATGAAAACAATTGTTATCGGCCTGACCTCATTTGGCTCAATGCTAGAGTGGCAGGCAGATGCTAGGAAGCAATAGATGTTGTCTCTGGAAACTTCAGTCAGGCTCTGGGTTCTCTTATTGCCACCAGCAACCTAAGGAATTGGCCTTGGAATGAGTAATTGAGGGGCCAATGGCTGGAGAGGATGGAAAGTCCTATTTAGGGAATGAAGGAGGAGAGATGGGGCACAGATGGCAGGAAGGTCAGTTCACATCCATGCTGATTCAGGGCCACGTGAACAGTGACCTAACTCCAAGTACCTGGGAATTCAAGGTGTTACGTACTGGCAGATACAGAGTCTGTCTGTATTTGCTATCCTCAGTTTTATAGTTGCTCTGCCAAAGTCAATGCTGAGAAGAGAAGAAACAACAAAAGTCAGGGCTGATGGAGTGGCTCAAGCAGTAAGAACACCTGATGAAGAGTGTAAGGCCTTGAGTTCAAACTTCAGTGCCACCAAAAAAAAAAAGATTCATGTACGAAAAAGGAAAAATGAGACCTGTTGAAACTATTCCAGGATTGGGGGCAGGTATATAAAGGAAAATGATGGAGGCGTGAATTCAACTGTGATATATTGTAAGAACTTTTGTAAATGTTACAATGTACTCCCACAACAACAATAATATGATAATTTAAAAATGTAAAAACAGTCAATCTGCTTAATTTAACTCTTTTCTAATATCCAGGGCTGGTGGTACCTCATGATGACTTTGGAGTCAATTTTATTCATGATTATTTTTCTGAACTTGAGTCTAACTAATGAACTTTTTGACAATTATATTCTGAGTGTCTAACAAACTCTAAATGAGATTTGTTCATATGCAAAGCTGAATAAACTCAACTGTGGAACAAAAGAATACATTTTTACTGTGATTGATGAATATTAACCATTGCTAAGGTGGCCATTTACCCTAGTTTGCTGGGGTGATGCCAGTTTGTGCCTGTCATCTAAGCATGATCATTCCTCTCTCCCCTGTTCCTGACAGGCTGGATCACAATCATATTCTTACCCAGCCATGGACCACAGGTAAAGCTTCCTTCCTCCCTAGCTTCCCCTCTCCTAATAACCTCCTGTCTTCTCCAGCCCATTACTTCTCCATCACACCATATCATTAATAATTTATTATTTATAGTGCACTTACTTCCAAAAGGGATTAAAGTGGTATACAATGTATTCACTTGACAAATATTTACTGGAAGTGTCAAAGTTTCCATGAGCCGTGTGTGGTAGTACACACCTGTAATCCCAATACTCAGGTGGCAAAGGCAGGAAGATCAACAACTCAAGGCCAGCCTAGGCTACACAGTGAGACTCTGTTTCAAAAAATAAAAGTTTCCATGAATAAAAGTACCTGAGGATATACATATGCACAAAGTTGTCCAAATTAAACTTTAAAAGGCAATGAAAAACTGATCCAGTGAGGAGAGATTATTGATTCAGAGACTATGAATGAGGCAGTAGTTTTAACTCCAGTATTTTCCCTTGAGCTTTAAATTGCATGATGTATGACAGTGATCCTGTTGCCTGAGGACATGCAAGTTTGAAACAAAAGATGCTTTCTCTCTTCTCACTAAATTGTACAGAATGTGATCACGTACTCAGATATGTATTGAGTATTTCCCATGTGCCAGGCACTGTCCAACATGCCAGGATACCAACCAGAACAATCAATCATATAGAAAATCTCTGCCCTCAGGGAGTTTACATTCTAGCAGGCCAAGACAGACAACAAATAAAATACAGAATAAGTGCTATGTAGGAAGATGAAGCAGAGAATAGAGAGAGCTCAGAGAGGGACTGCAGTTTTAATAAAATTATGTGGCGATCCCTCATTGAGACTGTGACATTTAAGGAAGAGGAGAAGGGAACGGTCATGGGGACACCTTGAGAAGAGTCTTCCAGACAGAGAAAAAAGCAAATGCATTGATGCCTAAAACCAGAATGGGTCTAGTGACACAAATCAGGAGCAGATTATGAAGACATAAAGTCAGGATCAGGGCAAAGAGGAAGTGAGGTCTTGAGTTTTATCCTCCCAAAGAAGATGAAAAGCCATAAGGAAATTTTGAATGGTGAAGTATTATGACCGATCATAGTTTAAAGGATAATTCTGGCTGCTCTGCAGAGTAGAGATGTAGAGGAAGAAAAGGCCAGTTCAGAACCTTGTAAAGTTTTCCAGATAAGAAGAAGTGAGAAATGGTTAATTCTGGATGTGTGTTCAAGGTAGAGCAAAACAATTTGGTAGCCATTTACATGTAGAGCAAAAGAGAATCCAAGATGTCTCTTGCTTGATCTGAGCAGTGGAGCAGCTGTTTACTAAAAAGACAAAGACCGAGGGTTGAGCAGTTTGAGGGAAGATCAAAGTTTGGTTTGGGCCATGGTGAATGGGATCTACCTGTTGGACATGCACATAGAAATGTCATGTCAAGCAGATGGTCAGGTAGGAGTCTGGAGTTCTCAGGAATCCTTCCATAAAGGGCATGGAATGATCAGATGGATACTATCTTTAACAGATATTTATGGGAAAACTACAGAAACATTTGTTTTATGACCCTTTTCCTGTCAGCCTGCAATAAAAGTCAACCAGAGTTAAGCAATGGCATTTCTGGAGGTAGCCAGGTAGTGTAGCAAGTGTCCTAAAAGATGTTGCCCTTAGGAACCTAACTTAGACAAAGAGGAAGTTTATTGAACCCAGAAGAGTAGGCAGTTCACACCAACCTTGGCTGACCTCTTACCACTTTGATTTCAAGCTTCCCTTTAGCAAAAATGACCATCTCTGAGCAGACAGTTAGGTAGCAGGGCTGACATTTTGCTATGAAAGGGAAAGAGTCTGATAAATTCTCACCCAGACCAAAGCCCAACTCACCCTGACTTGCAGGCTAGGCAGTTGGATATCTGAAAGACCTAGTTGACTCTTCTTTAAAAAAAAAAAAAAGCCATGGAGTTACTCAAATGAGCTAAAACCCCAGAATGATGATTTGGTACTCAGAAACAATTTGAAATTACACAAGTTAAGATTTGATGTTTTTATGGCAAAAAGAAAGACATTACACAGTGGCTTACACAGGCAAGTTTAAGTTAATTCCTCCCCCAGTCAACAATGAGTCCAGCCACACCAATGCAGAGAAATAAGCATGCAGCTGTCAGAAATGTAGAACTGCCAACAGTATATATCCGTGACATAAACTGGAAAACAGCACTGTTCAGTCTTGCCTCTGAGAGTATAAAAATCACAAACTTTTAAAATAACTTGAAACCAAGAATTTAGTCAGTCTTGCTTAATTTGTATTACCTAACACCTCCTAGAGTAATACTAGCACATAGTAGGTATCCAGTAAAATACTGGCAAAGGAATGAATCTGTCAACATAAAAAAGCTAAAAAGCAAAACTTCCTAGTGCCATCTTGTGGAAGACCTCACCATGACAACATCACAGATTCCAGTCACCAGACTGGGGGGAGTGGACACTGAAATTTCTGTAACAGGGGCTGAAGAGCTATGGACTGCCAGAAGTGGTGGGCTAGGAAGCTATCCTGAAGCCGTGTTTGCATTTCAAGTAACTTTTTTTGCTTTTTTTTTTTTTTTGCTTAGATTCAGGTGAGGTTAATGGGGGCCCCAAAAGTTCCTCAAGCTAATTGGGCATTGCTCCTGTATAGCTGAGTTCAAATCTCAGAAGTCTGATCAATTCCCCACTCTCCTCCCCAGCAAAGCTTGTTGAAATAACATATCCTCAAATTCTTCCTTTGGTCTGAAGAGCTCTTTGAGCATTTCCTAGCAGCCTCTGTCTTCTTACTGCTCCTACACTGCACCCCAAGACACTGGTTTGAACTTGGCCTCTCTATTTTTCTCCAATTTTCGCCGTACCAGGATTTGGAGAGGCAGAATAGTCATCTGGTCTCCAAATGGGACCACCATGAGGGTTCCACATCTCTCCACTGGCCGCCTCTTTTTTCATCATTCCCACTCCCTTTCCAAGAGCCTGGCACACACAGTACACGTGGCACACACAGTATGGTTCTTTAGGTTTTATGGATACCTGGAGTTTATATAACTTGGTAGAATGTCTTCAAGAAAAAGAGTAAAGAATTGTAGTTACAAATTTAGGTGCAAATGTGATCGTTTATGTCGAATGGAACTCCCAGGAGAATAGTGGCAGTCATCCAGTTCCTTTTCTTCTCAAATCTCCGTGAAAACTGGCCAGAAACACCCACGTAAGCATGGACTTCAGTGTGGCCTCCCCGCCCCACCCCCACCACTCAGCAGGTCCGTTCACAGTGACCAGAGCCAGTGAACTTCATTGGCTTCTTGCAGCCCTTGGCCGCAGATAAGGCTTGTGCGTGTGGACTCTGCCTTCTTGTTCCTGTTCTCTCTGGACAGTGCCCAAAAAGGCAAAGGGGCTGACATCCACACTGCTTGTCTTGGGGACCAGCTCCAGTGAGTCCACGCGGTGGGTGCTCGGGGACTATGTGGCCCCACTCTTCACGGCCGCGGCCACCCACAAGGTCAGCGCTGGGCCCCAGAATTCTAGAAGCTGGTGGTGCTGGCAGTCTGACACCCGGAGTCCTCATTGAGAGAAACACAATCCACGGGGCTCCATGTTCCACCTGGCGCAAACAATGAGAACTCCGCGAGCAACCACTGACGGTGGGCACCAACATTTTCCCCGCTAGGAGAGAGGCTGGGAGAGGGAGGTCAAGGCAGCTGCAGGACACTGCAGATGCTGTGCACCGTTCCCATGGTGACTGAGAGGGCCTGGGAGAGCGAGGCGGATCCTTGCTCAGGTAAGGGCTGCGAGGCTCCACCCTGTGTTCCTGCGGAGCCCCGCCTGGCCAGGCAGGAGGGAGGCGAGCAGAGGCCAGGGTCTGGAAAACACTCAGATCAAGCACTCAGACCTCTTTCTTCCTCTCTCCCTTCCTCTGCCTCTCCGCTGCCTTGACCTTTCTGTTGCCCACCTCGACCCAGTGGTCGAGGCACTCTCTCCAGTGAAGGGCAGTGTCACAGGACAACACTGTCCTGTTGTTGTACTCATGATACTTGTACAAATAAAGGGAGACTGGACTCCTTCCACTCCAGAGAACCCCTGGCCCTGAGTTGAAAAGAAAAGTATGGGTGTGAAGGGTATGGCTTCTTTTTAGCCCACATGGCACCATGGATCAACCAGGAAAAAGTCCCCCAGATCTGAAATTTCAGCCCTGTCCAAACCTACTCCTGTGACCCTCTGTAAAATGGGATGGAAAAGGCAATCCTACCCCGCAGTCCAGGGAGGTGGTGAGCAGAGACTAATGGTGCTGTTTTACAAGTGTTCTGTGCCAACTGCTGGCACAAAGTCACCCTCCTTGAAAGTTCAAACCTGAATACATTTGAAATTCGATTTATAAAAAAGGCCCTAGGAAATTACTTTTTAACAAGTGCACTGGGTGTCCATACTGCAATGATTGGTCCAAGGGGTTTCAAGAGAACTTCTCAACTTCACTGTTTGCCACTGGCATGTTTTAATGTGACCCAAACCAGCCCAGGGATGGCACCATGAAATCACAGAAGTAGGTCATCAGTTGCTCACCTCCACAGGAAAGGCAACTGCCTTCCACCAAGAATCCTGCTAGTGAATTAAAGGACTTCTAAACAGCTATGAAAGACAGTAGCAGCAGTAACAAGAATGCCTTGCATTTGTAGGGCACTGTAGGATTCCCTGGGACCTTTTCTAAAAATAAGATTTCTGCCCTTGCTCCAGCTAGGATTTCTGGAAATCTGACAGCCAAGGGTCCCATGGTCCACCCCCATTCTCTTCACCATGCCCCTTTGCTGTCTGAACCCAACTACCACTCATCCTTGGGTTTCCCCCCAATGAGGGAGGGTAAATTAAGCAGATGAAACATTCAAACCAGAAATCTGACTTGCAGTCAGTCTTCTGTGAGTCTTTTCTTCCTATGCATCATCTATCAGTGCATGTGGTTCTGGTGAAATCTCATTGTGTATCAGGTATTGTGCTCGGCTTTTGTCTTAGGGCAGATATGCAAACAAGAAGGCAGAAGAGCAGTGAGAGAAATAATGGGCTGTTATGGTTTGAATATGTAATGTCCCTCACAGGCTCATGTGTTGAAAGGTTGACCCCCAGCTGATAGTGCTATTTTAGGAGGTTCTGGAGACTTTAGGAGGGGGGGGCCTAGTTGGAGAAAGCAGGTCATAGGGGTGTGCCTCTGAAGGTTATACTACCTGGCACCCCAACTCCTCTCTCTCTCCATAATTATTTTATTATAACTGTATTATGTGTACATACATAATTGTACACACACACACACATTCTATTGGCTATTTCTCTGGAGAACCCTGAATAATATACCTTCTAAATTCCAAATGTGGAACCAAGAATCTGTGCCTTTCTATACTGGTGCCTTAACCTTTCAGGGAAAAGGGGTGCTCAGGAAGCCCACCCCAAGTCCTGAGCCTGTCTCTCAGCTTCAAATCCATGGATCTTCAGTTCTGTTTCATGGTACAATTTTCAGCTCTGTGCAGATTGGCAGCTTCAAGTCATGCTTTCAGAACTCAGCTGTGTGTGTGGTCTGCACTCATCCATGGGCAGCATTCATTGCCCCAGGGGCTACACTCGACCATGTTCACAGTCACACTATCAGTACTTCTCATTCAGGTCTAATTTACTGAACTCCTGAAAGCAGGTGGAGCTCAGCAGCACTGATCAACTTAGTCTGTGCAGCCAGCTTTCTCTAGGGTCTCTGAGATCCTAGTAGGCACTAGGGAGAGATTCAGGGACAGCACCCTGGTGACATGAGGCACCTAGTCAGAACCCACTAGTTCCCAGAACTCTTTAGCCTCTTGGCTGCAAACATTTCTTTCTTTAAAAAGGACTCACTGGCTGGGAGCAGGTGGCTCACACCTGTAATCCTAGCCACTCAAAAGGCAGAGATCAGGAGGATTAAGGTTCAAAGCCAGCCCAGGCAAATGGTTCACAAGACTCTATCTAGAAAATACCCAATACAAAAAATCCCAGGTAGAATGATTCTACCTGGATTGCTAGGTGGAGCACCTGCCTAGCAAGTATGAGGTCCTGAATTCATACCCCATATTGCCAAAAAGAAGACCCACTGCTCACAATTGTGTCACTCATTAAACAAGTACACAGTATAGTGGATCTATCAAGATTTCCTATTCTTTAACCTTCAAAACTTTGCAGGCTCCTGCACGACACTGGGCTCTGCAGCATGTGCAAACCATCCACCCTGTGTGGAGTTCTGAAGACAGGATGCCAGTCTGCACATTGAGAATAGCGTCTATGTGACGTGGGTAATTTCGTTTGGAAGAAACCCATGAGCAGTCATAAACACAAAGACCCTTTGCACTTGATACCCTCTCAATGACTAGCTGGAGATTTTCAGGTCATAAGAGACCCCTTTCCTTTCTGATTCTGCCCTCCCTGGTCTCTTCATTGCAGCAGAGAATGGTCTCTGCCTCTTTACCTACCATGTGAAAACTTAGACCCTCCAATCTAGGAGCTGCACTTGACTCTGTAGGGAGGTAGCATGTGGAGAAGAGCCCCCTGGCCAGGCAGATAGGAGGCAAAAGAAAAGGATGCGACACTGGGCAGTGACAGCACAGCCCCCTCCAGAAAATTAGCTTCTCTGAAACAGTTCGTGGCTAACTTTTAATTAAGTGGGTATAGCCCATGTGCCTCGCTAGCTCTAGGCCCCAAGAGCTGGGGTGGCACTGACTTTCTATTGACTCCCTATTGTTTCCTCTTACAGATAATTACTCTTCAACACACGTTAAAACTCTCCTCCTGAGCTGGATGTAGTTCATGGTAGAGTGTTTACCTAGCAAGTGTAAGGCCCAGCATCCGTGCTCCAGCGGGAAAAAAAAAGAAAGAAAAGAAAAGAGAAAAAAACACTCTCCTCTTTTTCCATCTACTACATAACACTATACTGTAATTTCTGTTTCTATCTCCCTGCTTAATTAAGAGGCTTTTTGAAATCCATAGGTATGCCATATGCAAACTTACATCAGACAGGTTGCCTGATGGTGTTTTATGTCAAGAAAGTTTTTATGTGTCTGGCACATGAAAATACATGAGTATTTGTGGAAGGAAAGAAGAAAGAGGAAAAGGATAAGAGGAAACCTGGAGGCTTATAATTTTCAAAAGCATATTATATAAGGCCTGTATAATAGTGAATAATAGAATCAGAATTCTCAAATATTTGAGCAGTCTGGAAGGGTAAAGCAAAACCAGCAAGATGAAATTTAATACCAATCTAGGTAAATGCCTGTGTAGGGTTCAAAAAAAATTAAACATAAGTTTAGCACAGGAAAAAAAAAAGCAGCAGATACAGAACATAAAAGCTCTTTTCAAATATTTGCAGCTCACCATAGAGCAAGTCTGTTGTGTGTAGCTCCAGAGAGCAGATCTGGGAAGGCTGGCTGTGAGCCCAAGGGAAGATTTAGTGGTCATTTGTTATGTACTAAATACAGTGCCTGGCACGTAGAAATGGTGGGTGTGATCTTTGCTATCACAGTTATTTCCAGCATTGTGGTCATTATTTGCTGTTTGTTAGAGCTGCCCAAGAGTCATGCCTCAGAAGGCACTGAGCGTCCATCCCTGGAAATCCAAGGTTATCACCAGGAAACCACCTGTCTGGGATGTTTATCGACTTGATCCGTAACCTATGATTTCCCCTTTTCCATAATCCTGTGATCTTAGGAACAGTTCCCTGCATGTCCTGGTAGTGAAAGCTGCAGATACAATTCCTGGCTGAGCAAACCATCTTTCCATAAAGAAGCTTTGCACTGTCTGCATTTGTTGTGGCGCCTCATTCAAGCAACCCTTCGAAGCATCTCTTTGATGCTGAAAAAGAAAATTGCTTTGTATGAAAGCTCCCTTAATCTTATATAGATACAAATGCCTTGTATCTGTGGGGATATGCCAAACTGCTCTTCGTATTTCAGAATTAATCTTATTAAAGAAAGCTCTATTTAATCCCCACTGCTGTTTACCAGAGATGTTGAATAATTCTGCATCTGTTCCTATTGCCGTTTTACTGCACACCCTTCCTGGATTCAGTATTGTGGAAGAAAACACATCAGCAAGTTCAGGCTGAACAATGAGAGTCTCATTGTGGCTTAAAGTCCAAGTTATAGCAATGCTCCCTTTTAAGTCTTTATTTCAATTTCTCAAAGAAAGGCAAAGAGCAAGGGGAGCTTGCCTATAGGAAGAATAACAAATGATATGATAAAGTTTCTTCATTAACTATCCAACTCAATATAATCTCTTACGATAAACCATCAGTATTGCTCAGAAAAATGGGGTTTATATAGGGTAACTATCTGTTGTGTCTTCCCAAAGAACATAGGAAAACTTTGTTCTTGGCTAAATTACCTAGTTTGTAATATATGTTGTGTGTGTGTGTGTGTGTGTATGAATCAATCAAGATTTTATATTTTTATATATATACAAAATACACAAACACACATACACACACATCAGTCAAATAAAATTACAGATTCCTTCCCTCTCCTTGCACTTCTGGTTCATTTCCATTAGGAACCGCAAGTGAATGATCCAAACACCCAATCATATGAGAGATAATCACTCATTTAGTCTTTCTACTAAATGCCAGGCCCTTTTCCAGGTGGTAGGAATATAATAATGAACAAGAAAGCAACATTGCTTTTCCTAAATGAACAGTCCTGTGAAAATGATCTCTTCAGGAGTGACAAATGTCATGATGAACTAAAACAGCATGATGAGATAGTGGATTTTAGACAACTGATTTTA